CCTCCTCCTCCTCCTCCTCCTCCTCCTCCTCCTCCTCCTCTACATTTGTGCAAAAAGAGTCCTTTTAGTTCCTCTGTAGCCCAACATGTTGTGCAACTGCAGATAAGGGTAAGTTAGCTGTGTTCTCTCAACAAGGGCACTTTGTTTAAATGAGGCTGTTGATAGTCTAGAAAGTGAGCTCCATGGATGTTTTTTTGGGGGGAAAAAAACCCAGGGTAGTGACTAATGTTTAGACGAAATAAATTAACCACATGAAATCTGTCCTCTCCCATTTGCTAAATGCATCAAAAAGTTCAGTTTGACTTTTACTGCCTAAAACCTTATTTCTTAAAGTGTGGTTCAAGCCCCACTGTGGTTCCCCAAGACCCCACTCCACCTCTCCCAGGGTCCAGATCTAGAATATCATTTCAAAGAGCATTAGATTTGATGAGGGGGAAAAAATGCCATGCTATTTATTTCAAGTTTCAGATTGACCAAGGGTCAAAGTTCTCTAGGTGGTTTACAACAAAACTTTTTTTAAACAACAACAACAAATGTATAATAAAAGCAAGAAAGTGCACAATGAAACTAGGCATCCATTCAGAATTAAATTCAAGCCAAAGTCCATTCAAAAAGCCCAGGAAAATAAAAAAAATAAAAAAATCACCTGGTGCCAAAAAGATGCAAATGTGCGACATTCAGGGGAGGAAACTCCATTAACGGGGCGGAAAAATGTTCTCCCGGAAGAAAGAAACGCTTCCCAAGAGGAGAAAAAGAAAGAACAGGAACGTAAATTCCCCCTTTTTAAACATCCGTTTCGGATATCGACATCCATCCTCTGCAAAACAAAAACTCAGCCAGGCTTTTATGATGCAGTTATATTCCATTCCTCCCACAGGAGCGATCCCAGATATGAAGACGACAATTTATTTATTGTTATTGTTATTATTACGATTTATTTATTGTTCTTGCTGTTATTCACCCAGATTTTCTCCCCCTTCAACATCTGGCCCCAATCCCGTTAGCACCGCTGGCCGGCGATCCTGAAGATGGCGCGCTCCGGAGCCAGACCCGGCAGGTCTTTGGGCCAGAAGGGCGATATGGGGTCTTCCAAGCCGCTCCCGGGAGGGTGGTCGGTTTCCTCAGCCCGAAAGAGCCGCTTTGCAAGCAACTTCCCAGCGCGGCTGTTGAGATTTCTCCGTTCAAAGCTCCTTCCGCAACCGTGACTCAGTTGCAGCCGAGAAAGCTCCGCTCCGAAAGAGGCACCGATGCTGGTTTATAAGCCAGCCTCCCATTAGTCAGAAAGCAGTAGTGAGCTTACACGACTTGAATAAGAATAAGAATAAGAATAAGAATAAGAATAAGAATAAGAATAAGAATAAGAATAAGAATAAGAATAAGAATAAGAATAAGAATAAGAATAAGAATAAGAAGAGTAGAGTAGAGACAGGATAGAATAATAACTTTATTGTCACTTTAGAATAGAATAGAATAGAATAGAATAGAATTAGACTAGAATAGAGTAGAGTAGAGTAGAGTAGAGTAGAGTAGAATAGAATAGAATAGAATAAGAATAGAGTAGAGTAGAGACAGAATAGAACAATAACTTTATTGTCACTTTAGAACAGAACAGAATAGAATAGAATAGAATAGAATAGAATAATGTAATGTAATGTAATGTAATGTAATGTAATGTAATGTAATAGAACAGAACAGAACAGAACAGAATAAGAGTAGAGTAGAGTAGAGTAGAGTAGAGTAGAGTAGAGTAGAGTAGAGTAGAGACAGGATAGAATAATAACTTTATTGTCACTTTAGAATAGAATAGAATAGAATAGAATAGAATTAGAGTAGAGTAGAGTAGAGTAGAGCAGAGTAGAGTAGAGTAGAGTAGAGTAGAGTAGAGTAGAATAGAATAGAATAGAATAGAATAGAATAGAATAAGAGTAGAGTAGAGTAGAATAGAGTAGAATAGAATAGAATAGAATAGAATAAGAATAGAATAAGAATAGAGTAGAGATGAGACAGAATAGAATAACTTTATTGTCACTTTAGAATAGAATAGAATAGAATAGAATAGAATAGAATAGAATAGAATAGAACAGAATAAGGGTAGAGTAGAGTAGAGTAGAGTAGAGTAGAGTAGAGTAGAATAACAAAATTTAAGGGACCTTGGAGGTCATCTAGTCCAACCCCTTGCTCAGCTAGGAAACCCTATACCATTTCAGACAAATGGCTGTCCAATCTCTTCTTAAAAGCCTCTAGTAATGAAGCACCCACAAATTCTGCAGGCAAGTTGTTCCATCGATTAATTGTTCTAACTGTCAGGAAGTTTCTCCTTAGTTCTAGGTTGCTTCTCTCTTTGGTTAGTTTCCACCCGTTGCTTCTTGTCCTGCCTTCAGGCGCTTTGGAAAATAACTTGACTCCCTCTTCTTTGTGGCAGCCTCTTTGATATTGGAACTCTGCTACCATGTCACCCCTAGTCCTTCTCTTCATTCAACTAGACATACCCAATTCCAGCTGTGTAATTTGCACACCTAGCGTGACCCACCCCTTCTCCTAAACATTTGAAAAACGGCTGCAGGACTTGGGTTTGGCTAGTCTAAAGAAGAGAAGAAACAGGGGTGACATGGGTTCAATAGCCCCTCTGGTCTGCCTTTAATACAGTTACTGTCAGAAAGGAGAACTGAGCTGGACCAAACCACAAACTTTCTCAGAAAAACAAACAACAACTTGGGCAGTAGGCTTCTTTGAATTTTGATGTGTCATTGCACACTTGCGATATGCAAAGGAAGTGCTTAAAGATACAACCATATTTTAACAGAAGAAAATATCTAAAGAGCCCCGTCAGAAACGTAGCCTAATTGGAACATCCTGGAGTCCTGAACCCTTAAAGGAGGAACGTTGTTAAGGGTGACAGCAATTTCCTTTTATTATTTATTGAGTTTACATGGTGTCCATCTCACTGGGAAGGTGACTCTGAGGAGCTGGTTAAGCAAATGACTCCAGGAAACATGCACGCGTCCATTTTATCTTGTTGCTGGTTAATGTACATTTTTGACCAAATGCAATTTTGGTTCTGATTGGTTTAAGTAGATTTGTTCATTAACATCAGACCGACAGCCAACTAAACCCCTACCAACACTGACACAGCAAGCCACTAGAATATAAACTGAGAACAAACCTCACTCCCTAGTAGTGCTGATGATGTTACCTAGTTTGGGTAATGAAATGTCTGCAAGAAACAGCCAAGCTCAGAGAGCACCAAGGACTCATTAGTCCTCCTCCTCCTCCTCCTCCTCCTCCTCCTCCTCCTCCTCCTC